CCTCTGATAACTCTTTTTTTACCCCCTCAGGGAAAGGTAATTACTGGACTCTAGATCCAAACTGTGAAAAAATGTTCGACAACGGAAACTTCCGTCGGAAGCGAAAGCGCCGTTCTGAGGCCAGTAGCAACCTCACTGTGGCTTCAGGAACATCAAAATCAGAAGGGTTGTCCTCAAGACTAAGAGTGAGTGGGAAGCCAGAAGGAGACAGCCCCTCTATGATGAGGCCATCTCAGTCACCAGAGCCTCCAGAGGACACCAAGAGCACCTCCTCCTCTCCTGGAGCATCCACAGGCATCTCCACCCCCTGTCTCAACACTTTCCTCAGCAGCCTCAACACTTTAAGTGTAAACCCCAGCAGTATGAGCATCCCAGGCAATCGCCGCCCCCTAGGGGGTACCCAGCTGCCTTCCAGCACATTCCCCAATACCTCCATCCCAGAGGGCTCTCCAGACTCCATGCAGCTGAGCACTATGGGTGGAAGCAACCAGCTATCTGCCTACTACAGCCCATTCTCTGGCAGCAGCAGTGGGGACCAGAGTAGCCCCTTCAGCAGCCCTTTCTACAACTTCAGCATGGTCAACAGCCTCATCTACCCCCGAGATGGCTCTGAAATGTAAACAGAGCTCAAATTTTCTCAAATGTGCCCTTGAGATCCGCTTTGAGTATAGGCTCAATTCAGGAGTGTCTGGATAGGACTGAGCTTCTGCATTGATGTCTGTGAGTTCCTGGATGATTCTATAGACCGTCGGCTATGCTCAGCTCCGAGTAACCAGAGTAGTTCTTATGCTGCAGCAAACTGTTCCAGGTTTCTCTGGCTGTGTGCCCTCTGGAGATAAAAGGCACCTTACTCAGTCCTGGGATGGTAGGTAGAACTCTGTGAGGACTGCGTCTATTTTATTCACTTGTATATCAGAGCGGCAAGCTCAAATGTATACAGACAGGCAGCTTGGTGGGGAAAAGGCCATTCAAGTTATGGATGGGAAGAAGATCGAAGCCGTTGGCAGCTGGAGGAGGCAAGGGGGATTGACCAGCTGGTTATTTCTTCCATGGCAGCATTCTGACTTTTCAAAGAAATCCAGATAATCTGGATTTTTTAAAAATAATCTAATTTTGTATTCTTTGCTTCCTGTGATATCTAAGAAATGCTACAAACCTTTCTGAATCCGGCTCACAAGTTACCTCTGTCTGGAAATGGCAGGTGCTACTGCAGGAAAGCTTTGTGCCAAAGGTTCTGTATATCTGGAATGTCAACTTCCTTACTTCTTCTGTACAGTAAGTTTCCTTATGTTCCAAGATAGGGGTTTCTGAAGCCATTGACAGTACCAGATTCTATGTGTGAGATAGGTATGACTAATGAGTGCTACCACACCCAGAACAATCTTAACAATTTTTAATGAGAAAGAAACTATTCTGGCCAAATTCTCTTAAAAGTTATGTATATAAATGTGTTTCAGCACCACCACCACCCCGATTCTCGGAGGTAACTTCATTTGAATCATTTTGTAGTGGCAAGAATCTAGTATAGCTTCATATAGGGAAGGAACACTTGGTCATTGTTAGTTGAATTCATTCAAAGAGTGCTAACAAATGGGAATGGTTGTTGGATTTACAGGAACAGTCCACCACTAAAATGAAGGTAATATTCTACAAGCTCCCATGCTACCATGTTCTTGAGATATTGACATGAAACAAGAACCTCCTGAAATTGTGTATGTGGAGGGGGAAATCCCTGTGGTTTTTGTTTTTGTTTGTTTGTTTTTTAAAGACAGACTTTATTCCCCCCTGTATAATTAGAACTCACAGCATTAGTTTAAATTTTTTTATTGAAATGTATGGAAAAATTTAAAGGCCTCTTGATGTACAAACTGTGTCACCATTGCTTATTAACTGTTATTTGAAAAGATAACCAAAGAAACTACCTGGCCTCATACTCTTCAGATAAAAAAATTTTTAATATTTTTGTATGTGAAGAATCATAAGGACTTTTATGAATATTTCTAACACAACTCTATATTTGTAAATTAATTTATAATGTCTGCTGGAGCTGCAAAGATTTTTTTTCATAAGAAGTACTCTGTATGCTAAGAATAAATTCTTCAATGGGATGACTCCTGGCTTTTGGATTACTGCTTTTCTGACCTCAGTGTGTTTCTTGAAGGAACAAAAATGGATGACGTGTCACTGAAGTCACAAGAGGGATTCTGTTGAGAGTAATTGACTTTGCACATTAAATTTGCTCTACCTATCCCCAGGTGAAAGTATTAGAATAAAAATTACTCTTCCCAAAGGGTTTTAGTAATGAGTGTTGGGTTTATTTATAACAGTTCTGTTAGAAGCTAAATTTGAGCTGGGTTGGATGGGACACCCTAGTAGTAACGTGCTTGTCCAGTCTTCCTGGTGTAAGGCTCCAAGTGAGGATGGAAGACAGATTAAGCTGAGTTTCAGTGCACAGTAGTCCAAAGAAAGCGGAGCTCCGAGGCTGCCCTCCCTCCCCGTGGGGCTCTGAAGGGTGAGCACACTCTTGGAGGGGAAGGAGCTACAGGCAGCCCATTTCTAAGGCTGGAGCTGGAAGTTTGAACTTGGCCCCACCCAAAAAGTTCTTTGTTTAGGCTGCCCCTTGTATCATAGGCTGCTAATTAGATGCCAGAAGCACACACACACGAGTAGACATACCTACCCTAGGTGGGAAGGTGGTCACGCAGGGTCATATTAAGTCAGGTCAAGTGTAAGTTGAGAAGAAATGAAAACCGAATCAAAAAGTATTAGAACTGTAGCTGGGTAATTGACACTAAACACTAGAATGACAGCATCATGAGGACCTATAGTGCCTGCCTTTGAGGATCTGCAAAGTGACTGAGACCCAACAAGGAAGTTGCTGCTGGGGCCTGGATGATTCCAGGTAAAAGTGCACCAACACCCAGTTGCTGCTAAGCATCTATGATGCTTTCTCCCTTGGAACCATATCAGAAAATTTAGAAGTGGTCTAGACCACACTTTGGGTTGCTTGCAATAACACGGAGAACAAAATGCTCTACAATGTGTAGCTATGGTCCCTGGGTAGTGAGCTGGCCCAGGCGGAGGTTAATATGTCTCAATTTTCCATGGCCTACTGTGCCCTTTGAAATACAGCAGGGCAGGAAAATTTGGGGAACTATTAAACAGGTTTTACATTTCCATCTTTGCACATGTATTTTGGGTTTGGGGAATAGTCTTTTAAAGCCCAGGCTGGCCCTCCAACTCACTGTGTAGCAGAAGCTGGCACTGACTTTTGTTCATCCATTCCCTGAGGGCTGTGCCACCGTGCTCAGTTCATCTGGACATTTTAAAATCCTCTATCACTCTTGAACTTCCTGAGAAAAGGCAATTGAGCTTTGAAAACAGCTATGTAGCCTCCCCCTCTCTGTGGCCAACTGAGCTCCTGAATCCCTCCCCAGGCAAACCCAGGCAGGCGGAGAACACAAAAGACTCCTGAACTTCAGAGGAGATTCCCAGGGCCTTCTCTGCCTTCTGAGGATTGAAAGCACCTGTCTTTAGGGTCTGGTTGGCTTTTGTCTTTTTTTCTTACTGTTTCTGGGGTCATTAATGAGAAAGAAACCCCTGGTGCTTTCCTGGGGCAGGAGGTCGACTGGCCTGTAGGCTAGAGTCCTGGCTTTGGCTTTGCCTTTGTCATGGAAAGCTGTCAACTAGGGCATGCGGTTAGGTGGAGTTAGGTGGCTGGCACCGCTGAGAAAAGGAATTTCCTGCCAGATTTGGGAACAAAACACAGAGAGGCCCAGCAGACTGGTGCCCTCCTGAATTCCTCTTCAGGGGGCCTAAAGAACAGTCCTTTATCATGTTAAAAAAGGCAAGTGTCACTATTGACCCAACTGTAAGGTGGCATTGTCCAAACACCGGTATAACTAACTTCCCACTCTATCAACCCTCCTAACAATGAATTAGAGTTATCACCCAGCATGGGGGTTTCTATAACCCGGCCTGATCATTGATCTAAATGGCTGCCTCAGGCAAGTGCTCAAACCAAGATTCAAAAATGAGGCTATGGGGTTGGAGATGTGGCTCACGCCTTTAATTTAAGCACTCAGCAGGCAGAGAGGCAGGTGAATTTCTGAGTTTAAGGCCAGCCTGGTCTATAGAGTGAGTTCTAGGACAGTCAGGACTACACAGAGAAACCCTATCTTGAAAAACAAAAAGCTGGTCGGTGGTGGCAATGCCTTTAATTCCAGCCCTTGGGAAGCAGAGGCTGGCGGGTCTCAGTGAGTTCAAGGCCAGCCCGATCTACAAAGTATGTGTCAGGACAGCAGGACTGTTAAACAGAGAAACCCTGCCTTCAAAAACTAAACCAAAACAAAACATGCCCCTTTAAAAAAAAAAATGCATATATACTGTTCTTACAGAGAACCAGTTTGGGTTCCCAGCACCCACATGGGGGCTCACAGCTGGAACTCCAGTTCCAGGGGATCTGATCATGTTTCTTCTGACTTCCTTGGGCTCCTACACATGTGATGCACATACGTACAGTCAGGTGCACACACACACACAAATATTTTAAAGTTTTAAATTAAGCTATGTAATGTCATAGCCTATCACATTACACTGCCATTTATTTCAAAAAGAAAAGTAACTTTCCCAAAACCACACAGCCATACCAGAGGCCTAGAGCCCATTCTTCTGCTTTATAGTTGGGTTAATTTCTGTTCCAGGAATTTCCTTTGTATGGACTCTGAGGTTAAATTTTGAGTCTGGGTTGTCTCTTCATCAATGTAGAAGTTTAAACCATGAAAAGTCACTTTTCCTTGGCATACCTAACCCCTCAGAAGCAGACCACAGTCCAGACAGAGTCCTAGGTTTCTGGCTCTGAAGCTGCTCAGGAGAGCCAGGCACTGGTAGCAATGGTTAAGAACCTTGGACCTTAGCTGGGTATGGTGGTACACATCTTTAATCCCAGTACTCAGGAGGCAGGTGGATCTCTGGGAGTTCAGGCTAGCCAGGTATACATAGTGAGTGCCAGGACAGCCAGAGCTACATAGTGATACTCTGTCTCAAAAATCAAAAACAAAAAGAACTTTTTTGGACCTATGGAAAATCTATCCACTGATTCAGTAAACCTCCTTAGGTTCCACATTGTGTGCTGGGCTTTGAGGATGCTGAGATGACTGTGATCCGCTTGGAAGGAAAATCAACCCCTTGGGAACTATAGAGGAACCCAAAGGGCTGGAACAAATAAGGATTAGTAGAGTGCTTGCCTAGCTTGTATGAAGCCCAGGGTTCAATCCCCAGCGCTGCATAAACAGGATATGATGCTGACATCTGTAATGCTAGCACTCTAGGAGTGGAAGCAGAAGATTAGATGTTCAAGATCATCCTCCAGAATATAGCAAACCACAATGCATGTGTCTCTCCCTTTCATGTCAGAATCAAAAGCAGGCATTAGCACAAGGATTCTTCTCTTCTCCAAGGATGGAACCAATTGAACCCATTGCCACCCATTCACTTTTAACTCTCTGCATCTTCATCAACCTATACCCAGGCCTAACACAGTTACATAAACTCCCTGAGGATGAAATGGAAAAACAGCAGTATCTATTTCACATAGTTATCAGGAAAGCTGACATACTAC